GACTCATTATTCCTCATTACCAGGGACAACTTTTCTCCTGATGTGCTTAGTGCTCCTTCTCCACTCTCTTGCCTTAGGACTCTGTTGGGCCATCAGTTTTTTTACCCTCTTGTGATCCATGGCTGCCCTTGGGTGAGGAAAGTCACTTTCTGTTCATCTAAGTAGAAAACAGTTTCCCCCATTGGAAGACCCCTGAGTGCCCTGGCACTCCCGTGAACCACAGGGTACCTGGGGAGGTAGAACTTGGACATTGGAGAGAGGAGCAGCTAGACATTTCTCTTTCTAATCATACGCAGAAAGATTTCTTTTTATTCTCCAGAACACTTGAAAGACTCTCCAAGTTATGCAAACGTCAGGCTCACAAATATATGTCATCATGACTTTTGCAAAGATGAAGAGGATACAGCAAATTTTCTGAGAGGCAAAGGGACTTCCACCTGAATAGAAACCAAGCAAACTCACTGAGTATGGGTTAATTGATTGAACACCTGCATGGATATTAATTAAGGACCTTTGACAGGGAAGGGTCCTCAAGGTTCCCCAAAAAGTAACTTATCATCAAGGAAGGTGAAGAATGGATGGATGGCTTGGGCCCAAGACTGGGGCTATTCACTTGTGGGGAAACCCATGTGGACCCAGTTACCCCATACTTTGGAAATAATAACTGAGCATGACTATAATCTTTAAGAAGCTCAAATGCGGAATACCTCTGAGGCTTATGCAGGGATCTTACCTAGCATCAAGAACAGAGGCTCAGAGGACTCCCTGGGGCCAGTTTTCTACAGTCACACCATCAGCCACAACAGCAGCAATGGCAGGAGGAAAACAGGGCCCAGGAGTGGCTGACCACTGCCTGGAGTCCAACTGGTCTCCTGGAGTTCATAGAAGGTTTGACCCCTTCTGAGCTGAATGTGTCCTGATTTAGGGGATAGCTAGGGCAATAAGAAAGCCTCAGGGGGTGCTACTGATCTGGAGCTCCTACTAATTTGTGCATATGTGGCCACCAGTGGTTAACAGATGAGGTGAAAGAGATGGGACAGTGACTGTATCTGCTCTGATGAAGGAGATTGTGCAGTTACATGCGTAACGTCATTAAACTGCATTCTTCCAGGTAGCAAAGGTGCAGGCACATTTCTGTTTATTTCATTCATGCCCAGAAGACCAGCTAAGTTGTCAAGAGAAAGAAAAAGAGGGACAGAGAGAAGGAGGGAGGGAGAGGGAGAAGATGAGGGAGAGGGAAAGGAAGGAAGGGAAGGGAAAGAGGAGAGGGAAACGGGGAGGAGGAGGGAGAGAGAGGAGAAAGATTGTGTTTGTTTCTTGGCCCCGGTGCATGGCTCTAAGTGTTTGTGTGTGTGTGTGTGTGTTTGTGTGTGTGTGTGTGTGTGTGTGTGTTTGTGTGGCTCCCTATTTCTGCACAGGTGCACTAGTGCTGTGGGTTTGTGTGAAGGAGATGTTTAGGTGCTATCATAATGAAATCTAAAATTTTTAACTCTCATTTAGAACAGACTTTTTCCTCTTATGTCTGGGTTCCTGTGAAAACTTCACTCTCATCTTATTCCACCAACAGAATGGTAAAAACCAAGGTTCCAGGGATATTGAAGGCCAGTGGTTTTCAATCAGGGGTAATTTGACCCCCAGGGTACACTTGGCAATGTTTGGAGACACTTTTGGTTGTCACAACAAGGTAGGGAGTGCTACTGGTATCTGTTGAGTAGAGACCTGCAATATTGCAATGCTCGGGACAACTCCTACAAAAAAAATAGAATAATTTGGCCCAAATGTCAACAGTGCTAAGATTAAGATACTCTGTTGTAAGCTATGGGGAAAAAATGATCCTCCTCAGAACCCCATGAAATGTCTCGAACAAGATACCTATGCTGATTGTTATGCCTTTGCATTGCCCAGGCATCATAACAATCTCAGTTATGCTCTTGAGCATAATAACAATCTCAGTCATGCTCTTGAGATGCTGAAAAGATGGATTTTGCTGCACTGAGCCATAGATGCCCATAGGCTTACTCATTTTGGAGATGGTGGGTCTTTGGTGCTAATGAGAAAAGATTACAGACAATGCATCTTCATTCCTGAAATCACATGAGATGCTGAACAACAGTTAATGATCTACAAACACAAGCCTCAATGCACGAGAGTAATTACTTATTTGAAGAAACCCTTCAGTGGGTTCTTCCATAGAGACTCAAATGCACCCTGATTTAATCATTTGAAGAGTCCTGCTTCTTCAGGAGGTGGCCACAGAGAGAGCAACTGAGAGGGTTCACAGCCAGGCTAACCTGCATCCCAGAATGCTCCCATCACACATGACCCTCTACAATGCCTCAACCTCAATGACACCGTTTTTTCTCATCTGTAAAGTGGAGCTAATTCATCATTGCACCTGGGATTATGAAAGCAGCAATAGAAGAGCAGCTGCAGGGATGATGAGGGCAAAATCCTAAAAAAAATTTGTGGTACATTACACACACTCAATAAATGCCAGTTTTCCTTGTTAAAATCAGGAAAGGAAACACTTGGCAAGGGGATATGAAGAAGCGACAGAAAGAACTAGGACTTAATGAGCCCCCATACCACACACTGTATATGGCTTTCTTCATCCTCACAATCCTAGTAGGCTTAAGCCCATTTAACAGATGTGGAAGCTACAGCTGAGCAGTGACAAGCTCAAGGTCACACTGCTACTCAGTAGCAGGGCTGGCAGAAGAACCTAGGGTGTCTGATTATAAAGCCCCACCTCACCCTGCCCCACAGCTTGGGCAGAAAAGCCCTAAAGGAAAGAAGCATCAAATTCCCAGGTCTGAGGCCAATAACACATAAGAAGAATCATGCTACAGATCCTCTTGCTAAAGAATGAACTAGACCAGACAAAGCCAGCCCTTTATCTTGCAGGAGAGCCCACGTGACTTTCATCAGTCTTTCATCCCCTGAGAGTTCCCATGATGACCCTGAGACATAATCCATGGGCCTCCTAGCCTTTGAGGGGAGGTGGGGTAGAACAGGGAACCCATTGTTCTCTAATTAGAGCCTGGGTCTCCTCTGAGGCTCAAGATGGGGCCTCTTAATATGGAGCCTTCACCTGTTCCAAGCTATAGTATTATGATGCCTCCTCCCTTCAGAGGCAGCCCACCTGCCAACATTCATGAAAGGCTTCCTTCTTGATGTGAGGAGTGGGGAGAGGCATCACATGGCTAAGGGTCTTTTCTTGGGGTATAAAGGACTCGGTCTGCACCTGTTCAAACCCTAGCATCATTCATCCAGCTGCACTCCAGTGGAACCTTCACGGTAGGCACCTGTTATTCCTGATGGCTGGGGAGACAGAGAGCAGGGGAGGGAGGGAGGAAGATAGCAAGCAAAGGAGGGAAATGAATGGGAGCCAAGAGAAGGAGGGAGGGAGAATGGGAAGGAGGGGGAGAAGGAGGGATAGAGGAAAA